ATGAAAACGTAAGAAATAACACTAGCTATAATACATTAGAAATAATAGAATATTATGAACAACTACATCAATAAATTTGAAAACCTAGATAAGATACATTAATAGAAAAATAAATACTAAAATCACCACACGAAGAGATAGACCTCCAATACACCATTAACCCCAGTGGTATTCAGTGGAGAGCTGGTAATTACCCCCAAAAGTCTCAGACCAAGATAGTTTTGGGAATATACTAAACTCCGTGGATCATATAATTTCTGTATTTAAACATTATTTCAGAAGATGGAATAGGCAAAGTTGTCCCATTCTCTTTAAAATTTATTATAAATCTGTCTACCAAAACCTGGTATGAATTTTATAGGAACAGAAATTTTAGGCATCACTTTGAATCACAGTCCTATAAAACCTAGGTGAATATCAGGCTAACTAAATTTATTACATCACAATGGGGTTTAGCCCAGGAACAAGAGATGGCTGTGCTTTAGGAGGGAAAGGGGAAAAAAGTCACAATTTTCCCAGTAGTCGGAAGAAACATTGAATAGGGTTCAGTGCCCACTTATAATAAAACCTTGGGAAACTAAGAATTGAAAAGAACTTCCTCAGTCTGAAAGACACTGTCCAAAATCTACAGTGCAAATGTGTTTAATAGAAAAACTTTAAGAGCTATCCTGGAAGGTAAGAAACCAGAGATGCTTGCCATTGCTGCTGCTGCTTGATATAACTCAGAGGTGCTGGCCAAAGAAGCAGAGGAAAAAAAAAAAAAAAAAAAAAAGAACCAGATAAAGGCAGGGAGCAAAAACTAAAAAAAATATTATTTGGAGATGATACCTTTTTATATAAATAGGAGAATCAAGGAACAATTAGAGCTATTAACAAATTTTAGCAAATCTGCTCAGAAAAAATATCTTAAATAACTTCAAAAATCACAAAGTAGGGGGCTGGGGATTTAGCTCAGCGGCACAGCGCCTGCCTGGCAAGCGCAGGGTAGTGAGTTCGATTCCTGGTACAGGAAAAAAAAAACAAAAAAAGTCACAAAGTAGTAAAAAAAAGTACAGGACTTTTATAGAAAACAAGTTTATCATACTAAACATGTTAAATACCATAAAAAGTGAATAAATAAAAGGAAATACACTGCTCCTGGGTGTAAAACTTCACGTTATAGAGGTGTCAGTATTCATATGGAAACTAAATATCAGCTGTTATACTTAGGATCTGGAACGGGCCCCAAAGCCCTGTGTTGAAGCACTGGTCCTCACCCTGCTCTCCACCCATGCTACTGTGAGGGGTGGAACCTGTAGCAGGTAGGGCTTAGTGGAAGGCAGGTAGGTCATTGGGAGCATGCCCTGGACCCTATTCTCTTTCTGTTTTTCTCTCTGCTACTTACCATGAGGGAAGCATGTGAACCACTGCCACAAAGTTCTGCCTCACTACAGGCCCCAAAACAATGAGGGCAAGCAACCATTGACTGACACCTCCAAAACCAAGTGCCAAAATAAACTTTTCCTCCTTATAAATCGACTTTATCGGGTATTTTGTCACAGTCATGCAGAGCTAACAGATCTGTTATCCAGATGCATCTGAAAATGAAAAGTAAAAAGGGGAATCACCCTACCCCAGATCATTTTGCAAAAACATAGTTATTAAAGCAGGATGGTTAAAAAAACAAAACAAACAAAGAATCCCCCCCAAAAACAGCATGGTCCTGGCAGAGCAACAGCAGACTGATGGAGTGAGAGCCAACCCAGGAACAGCAGAGCGCATACAAGAAGCTGATTTTTGAGGGAAATATCTTCACAAGTCAGGAAAAGATGGACTTTCGTTGTCACTGTTATGTGGTGGTGGAAAATTGTTTTAGCAGAAGTATAGAGGGAGAGAAATAAAATCATAACCTTATCTCACCCTTTAAAAAATTCCAGAAGTAATAAAGATTTCAATTTAAAGATAAAATCTTAGGATAACTGGGAATTTGGAGTAGGGAAGATTTCGTTAGCAAGATTTTTTAAAAAAGAGACCAGTTTTGATGGAAAATCAGACTGACTAATCTATCTGTCCACGTCAAACCAGGAAAATACTAATGATGAGTAGTTGCTTTTAAGTTTCGGGCCCTGCGATGTCCTTCCCGTTCCACATTTCCTGGGGGCAGTCACAAGAACGTGGTCAGGTCCTGTGTGTCACCTCACTGGGGGTAAAGACAGGCGCTGAGATTTGGGCGGAGGGAGGCCCGCAGGTGTCCGCGGCTCCGCAGGGAGCCCTGAAGTTTTCTTATTTTCTTGGACTGAATTGCTTCTCTTTTCAGGGGTTCAGACCTGTCTATGGAGGCTCCTGTCAGTGAGGCGTCTCTGATACCGGTAGAGGAAACTGAGACCACAAAAACTTGAGCAGTCAGGCCTGATTGTTCTGCTGCTGCCCACACTTTCAGGGTGACCATGGGTCACCCTCATGCAAGGGATGGCTGGTCCTTGGTTCCTCACAACCAGTCTTGACTGAGCTCCAGAATCATGCCAGGAGCTCATTAAAAATAAGTCACAGGGCCCCACCCCGACTCGCTCTGATTCAAGAAGTGTGAGGCGGGCAGCTCCGGAATCTGACCAGCTCTCAGAGATGGCCAGGGCTGGACTTGCCAAGCTGGATCACCTTTCCAGGGACTAGAGTCAGAGCCACTCAGCTCCTAAAGATGCAGAACCGCCTGGGCTGGGCTGTTGATGGGTACACAGCGAAGATGTGCCCAGGCAGGGTGGGAAGTGCAGCGGCTTGGCGTGGAAGGAGGAGCCAGCCCAGCCGGCAGCCCAGGCAGGAAGGGAGACGTGCCTCTGAGGTTGCTGCTGGAATCAAACTCTCCTCACAATGTTCGCTTCCCCCACCTCAGTCCTGAGCCGGCATGACAGTGGTCTGCCCCCCACCTGCCTCCTTCACCAGCCTGGGAGCTGCTTGAGGGCAGGAATCCGGCATTCATTTAGTCACACGTTCATTTATTCCGCAAGTACGCATCCAGACATTCACGTGTTAGGAGCAGGCTAGGACAAGGCTCAAGGGCCAGTCAGCCCTCTGAATGCTCCCGGGCTGGAAGGGAAGGACGCAGTGACGGGGCTCTGAGGAGGTGTCTGAAGCCCTGCGATCAGGAAGCATCGGACACCTCGGGGGGCGCCTGTCTTCGTGTGGGAGAGCTGGAGCGGCTCCCTGGGAGAAGTGAGGTCAAGAGGGTGATGAATGAAGCCCTCAGAGGGGAGGCGGGAAGACTGTTTCGCACACAGGGAGTGGCGTGGGCAAGCCCTTGGTGGCAGTGGGAACAGACTGTGAAGCGTCCTGAGGAGGTCCTGAGGGAGGGAGTCCTCTCCAGGCCCATGTGCAGGACTTGCTATGCAGCGAGGCAGCAATGAAAGGGTCTCACCTCCACTTTCCTGGCTTCTACCTTGGGACCTGGCCTGGGGGCTACAGAGATGCTGGTGACTGGCCTCTCTGCCTACCTGAAAGGGCTGGCTGACCTGGGCCCAGGCCCACTGCCCCAGCATTCCTTCCCCCACCGCTTTCCTCGCTACCTAGGGCTGGGCCAGCTGCCTTCTCAGTCGCCAGGCGGGATTTCCCTTAGCATCTGGAAGGTTCGCTTCTCTGAGTTAAGATAGGCCACTATGCAGAGGAGGGGAAACTGAGGCCGGGAGAATGGCGTGGTGTCTCAGCAGTCTCCTCTGACTCTCAAGCCTGCCAGAAAGTGTGCTCCTAAGAGGACGCAGTTGCTCCGTCCCCGCTTTGAGAGTGGCTCTCTGGGGCAGGTGTGAGCTGAGCCTTCACGCTTACCCCAGAGCCAGCCCGCCGCCCAGCACCTGGTGGGGACGCAGGACAGGTGTGACCTGCATGGACACATGTGCCCGGTCCCTGGGCGGTAGTGTCCCCAGGCCCCAGATGCGGGGGGGGGGGGCAGGTTCTTTCCCCCTTTAGGGGGTCCCAGGCCCGTGGTCAGTATGCTCTCAAGCTGGTCCCATGCTCAGGGGACTGCTGTGAGCGTCGCCATTGCCACCATTTATCTTACTGACTTTGTTTGTGCCGGGCACCCTGCACGCCCACTCCTGTGTCCCCCGACCTCCTCATAAGAACTTCAGCAGCGTTCTCCCTGCCTAGCAGACTGATACGGAGCCTGAGCCTCCTGCAAGGGGGAGCACTCGGAGACTTGCAGCGCACAGGATTGTTGCATTCACCATCCCCACCCCTCCGCAGGACTCACCCAGCAGTGGTGGTTGGAGGTTGTGACCTAGAGGAAGTTACCTGACTAGAGGCCCCTCTGGAAGGGGTTAGGCTTGGGCGGGGCTCCTGGGAGCCAGGGTGGGGAGAGGAGGTGGGGCCGCAGAGGCACCCCCCAATGGCCATGGAGAACTTAGCCCACTGAATGTACTCATCCATAGGAGGCGACCTTTCCTAATTTTTTTCTTTCTACTTAGCTAATTTTTGCACCTACATAGTTTTCTACAGAAACGATTACTTGTATCATTAAAAGGATGGAATTCACAAGGGAGAAACCTGTCATGGGGGGAATCCAGTGCTCTGGCAGGGAAGGCGGGGCTTATTTACATATGCAAATAAGCTTGCTGCCTTCTCCCTCTCCCCTCCTGACCTCCCACAGCAGGGGAGCAAGGGGAGGGTCAAAACTGCAGGGAGTGTCACGCACCACCCCCCCTTGAAGTCGAGGCAGGCCCGGAACTGCCCACACACGTGCCTGCTGACTCAGGAGAGGGCCTGTGCTGCAGTCCATGCCCACACTGGTGCTGCTTATTTGCTTCCTGCCGCACCAGAAGGTGCACTTCTTGAGGGAAGTGATGGTTGAGTCTCTGGGGCTGGTGCCCAGGGGGTGGCGAGAGCACCCTTGTGACCTTTGTGGGGGTGGGTGAGGAGGTGCCCGTGGGGTGGAGTGGGAGCATGCCAGCCCACCCGGCCAGACTCTCCAGGCCGCTCGCTTGGTTCCCAGGGGCTCATGGTTGTGTCTAAATCCCTCTCGGGGCTTCTGTTCCTAGATCCACTTTCCGGACATGGAGCGAGTCGAGTGGGCCAACAAGGTAAGGCCACAGGCGGCCTCTGGCAGGCGCAGACCTCAACCTTGCTGAGACTCGGCCCACAGGGCATCGGCAGCAGCCTCATGTCTGTGGCTTGGGCCACGGTCCTTGGTCCCTGCAGTGTCCATGCTGGGAAGGAGGAGGAGGGATGGCCCTCTGCTGCCGGAGTGACAGCTTGCACCCTCCCTTTGTTCATCAACTAGCTTTCTTCCCTAAAACAAACAAATAACAACACAACAAATATACACAAATATAACTCCGCACAGAAGAAAGGTTAGAAAGCGGAAGTACTGTATAGAGAAAGAACAACCCTCCACTGGCTTGCCAGCCAAGTTCAGCACCTTCAAAGGGAGAGGAAGAGGAAGATGCTTATTATTTTTGGGTTTTTTTTGTTGTTGTTTTTGAGGTAGGGTTTCTCTCTGCAGTTCAGGCTGGGCTTGAGTTCTCTTTGTAGCCCAGGCTGGTCTTGAACTCACAACAATCCTCCTGCCTCAGCCTCCTGAGTGCTGGGATTACAGGTGTGTGCCACCACGCCCAGCCGAAGATACTAATTAGACAACAACTCCAGCTTCTACCTGGTTCCCAGCCCAGGTGCAGCACCACTGGCTGTGCAACTTCCGGTAGTCTGCTTAACATCTCTGAGCTGGTTTCCTTATCCTTAAAATGGGGGTAGTTACGGTTTGTACCCTGGCAAGTGGTAAAGATAGAGGCTATTAATAGTCATTGTTATGACTGCCATTGCATCCCCCAGGGGAACTCCCTTTCAGCTCTGCTGCCACATGCCCAGAATGAATCACCTTTGGGTCTCCCCCAGAAGGAACCCCCACTTGACAGATGAGAAACCTGAGTCTTGTCCCTGCCTGTCCTGCCCACACCTGTGAAGGCTCCCCCAGAGCCTGCAGCAACAATCTCCTGACTCAGGACCTCGGTGCAGTCATTGCAGCTGCTTAGCCCATAGTAGGAAGGACTTAGATCAGGTAGAAGAGAGGACTTCCCGACAGTTGTCATCTTGGGTTGGTATCTCACATTCCCAGAGATATCATCGCCAAGCACAGCACAAACCATCCCTGGCCTCTGCGTGAAATCTGGAGGGAGGAGGTTGCTGCTGTAGGAGCTGTACCCAGGCTCCCGTGGGTCAGTGCAGGGCCCAGGCCCCGGGGGCAGACCCTGTAGAGTTCCACCAGGTGGCCAGTGGGGGTCACTGTATATATGTTCCGTCTTCCTCAAGCAGACGGAAGCACAGAGGAGGTTTGGAGGGAGGGATCTGTTGGGATGAAGCCCCCCTCGCCTTGGACAGAGGTGTGGAGCAGGTGAGCCACACACAGGTGCACTCCAGAGGCCCTGGACAGTGGTGAGGCGGGAAGGTGGGACCAGCCTCTAGAAATTTAGAACCTGGGGTTTGGAGAGGCCTCAGAGGTGGGGAGGAAAATAAGCCCTGAAGTCTTGTACTTTTAGGCTCCTCCAGTTATGGGCTTGGAAGACAGGAAAGGTAGAGGGAGGTGCGTCTTTAACCTGAGGCCCAAACCCATGGGGGGAAAGCGGAGCAGCCCTGCCGTCGGCCCTGCACACGCCTCTGATTCCCATCATCCACTGCCTCTGCCTCTTCCCACTACAACAGAAAAAGGACAGGAGTGGTCAAAATGAAACCCACACAGTTTATGGATGAGTTTAAAATGCAACAGTGAGCCGGGCGTGGTGGCGCACGCCTGTAATCCCAGCACTTGGGAGGCTGAGGCAGGAGGATCGCTGTGAGTTCAAGACCAGCCTGGGCTACAAAGTGAGCTCAAGGCCAGCCTGAACTGCATAGCCAGACCCGGTCTCTAAAAGACAAAAAAGAAACACCAAAAAACCAACAATGTTAATTTTGTAGTTTTGACCATTGTAGTCATGTATGGTGTAACAGTGTTTCCATCAACAACAGACCGCACATTGACAACAGACCGCAGACACAGTGCTTATCCCCTAAGATTATAATGGTGCTGAGGAATTCTGATGGCCCAGTATTTATGCCGTGCCTTTTCGGTTTAGGTACACAAATACCTTGGTGTCACAATTGCCCACAGCGTTCAGCAACGAGACATGGCGTTCCAGGCGTGTAGCCTAGCAGTGGCAGGCCATGCCCACTAGGTTGTGTGAGGGACACTCGATGATGTTTGCACGGTGACAGAATCACCTAACCCCGCGTCTCTCAGAATGCAGCCCCGTAGCTGAAGGACACACGATGTGCTCTGGTTATGTAAGATGCTGGTATTAAAGGGAACTGGGTCCTTTACATTCCCAGACCAGCACCATGACTCATTCTGCTACAGAAGTTGGCCAAAGGCTGCCTTTTCCGACTGCTGAAATTTATATCCACAGCAGACAATTTAACTTTTCCATAGCTTTTTCTTAAACCTTTGGCATCTGCTACTTTTTACATAAACTGCAGTGTAGCATAAGATTATGCACCACAGGGCCTCCGACTGTTAAGTTCAGTGAAGGAGCATTTCCCTGGTGCTCCGCAAAATGGCCCCAAGCCTTGGGGTCCTAGAGTTTTGACAGACAGGTGGGTGGGTGGAAGTGGGCACTGGGTGGTGCAGCCTAGGGGCCATGGGGCCCCAGCCCTGGGACTGGGCTACAGAGACTCAGGACTGTACCCTGGGCAGTTGCAGGTCTGCCACCCAGGCGCAGACCTGACATCCATGGGGCTCTTCCTGTCCCTTTTAGATCATTGCCCAGATTTGGCCCTACCTGACCATGATCATGGAGAACAAGGTTCGGGAGAAGCTGGAGCCCAAGATCCGGGAGAAGAGCACGTACCTGAGGACTTTCGCCTTCACCAAGCTCTGCTTTGGACAGAAGGTCAGTGCTACCTTGGGCAGGTCCACTGGGCTTGCTGTACAGCTGCTTCTCTGGTGCATTCTGCCTCCCCGTCACCCACGTCATTCACCTAACGGCAAACATGGCACGGGGCCTCCGAGCAGCACGACCCGCACCCCGAACTTCTCGGCCTGGGCGCACAGCCCTAGCCCCTTGTCCCCACAGCACCGTCTCTCCAGGTTCTCAGGAGCCTGGGTCAGGGACTAGAAAGGAGAGGTGGCAACTAGTTCCTTTCTTCTTCAGCAAAATTTTGAAAACAGGCCACATTGGTAGCCAGACAGATACAGGGTATTTCTGTACAGATGTAGTTGCTGATTGAGGTTTTCAGCTGGACCAGCCTGCCTGCGTGATTTGTGGTAGTACTACAAAGCAGTTTAGAATTCCCTGAAGGGTTCTGGCAGTCAATAAAGCCAACTGTGAAAACCAGTGATTGTCCCGGGAAAAAATGGCCTGTGGCCAAAGAAATGTGTGTTCAGCATACTTAATGGCATGGTGCCCCTTCTAGACTTGGTATTTTGCCATCTGTGCCCTACTCCTTTGGCCCTGCTGCGCTCATTGATCTGAGTCTTATTTTGATCATCCCAAGTACAGCTCCAGGCAGGTGATGACATCCACCGCTCAGTAAGTCAGAGGCGTTGGCATGAGGCGTGCCCTGGAACAAGCAGTGTGCAAGCCAGCCTGCCAAGAGCTGCTGCCGCTGTGCCTGGCGGCCTGTAGGTTGGGTGGATCAGGCATGCCTCAGCCCTGGAGAGGCTGGTTTGTGCCACTCAGACTTGGCCTAGCATCTCCTGGTCCACCTATTGCCTCCTCGTCTCAGTCACATGTGACTTACTAAGCACGTGCTGTGCAGTAGGCTCCAGAGACCGAGTCAGGCGTGGTTGTGCCGGTGCTTCAGGAAGTAAACACAGGAACTGTTGCTGAAACACGGAGGTGTACGTGTGCATGATGGTGGAGGAATGCCTGAGTTTGGGAGCGGAGAGGTGTACGGGCTGCGTTAGTCAGGGAAGACTTCCCGGAGGAAGTGATGTCTGAGTTGACCTTTGAAGAATTCAGTAGGCAGAGAGCCAGGAAGCCTGCCGACTGCTGTGCTCAGAGCAGAGCCAGCTCAGCCAGCCTGTCTCCTGCTGGAGTGTCGCGGGAGGCGGCGTCACTGGCCAGGGATCATCAGGAATGGTTCTTATCATGTGGAGAGAACCTGCAGTCGCAGCCTGCAGGTTCCCTGGTGGTCAGCCCTGCAGGAGGGAGGCCTGTGCCTGGCCTTGCGAGTCCCTCGTGTCCTCCCCTGCCTTTCAACTGCACCTCTGTCCTCCTCTCTGTTGTGAGCTCACGGAGAAGTCCCGGAACCTGAGCAGGCTCAGCCGCAACTGTGCATTTGCAGCACCTGCGCGTGTCCCAGCTCCCTCTGCAGTGGTGACCTGGGCCAGTGACTGAACCTTGCTGAGCTTCAGTTTCCTCATGTATGTGACTGTTTATTTTTGGTACTGGGAATCGAACTCAGGACCTTGCACTTGCCAGGCAGGCACTTCTGCCACTGAGCTACATCCTTGGCCCCTTCCAGTTTCCTCATGGGTAAAAGAAAAGGATGCGCTTTTGAATAATATAGCTTATTAGTACCTGTTAGTTTTACACTATACTGGGTTTCAATGTGAGTTTTCATTCATGCATGTCACAGACTGTATGTAACATATTTTGGTCATATCCATAGCCATTACTCTCCCTTAAGTTCTCCTCCTCTTTATTCCCTTGCTCTTATCTAACAAAAGTCTCCCTGCTACTTTCATGCCATCTTTTTTTTTTCTTCTTAAAAATCTCACATATTAGGGAAAACATGCAGTGTGTGCTTTTGAGTCTGGCTTCTTTGGCTTAACATAGTGCTCTCCAGTTCTATCCACTTTTCCTGCAAGTGACATCATCTGTTTGTCCGTACAGCTGAATAATACCAACTTTATTTATTGATTCATATGTTGAAGGCACCCAGGCTGGTTCTGTATCTTGGCTATTGGTGTGGATTGTGCTGCAATAAACAGGGTATGCAGGTAGCCCTATGGCATGCTTTAAATGCTTTGGGCATATGCCAAGGAGTGAGATAGCGGGATTATGTGGTAGTATTTTTAGTTTTTTGAGGAACCTCCATACTGATTTCTATAGTGGCTGTACTGATTTACATTCCCACCAGCAGCAAAGAAGACCCCCCACACTCCCAACTTCACCAGCATTTCTTGCTTTTGTGCTCTTCATGGTAGCCATTCTGCTACCATTCTGCTGGGGTGAGATGGAATCCCAGTGTAGGTTTGATTTGTGTTTCTCTAATGATTAAAGGTATTGAACACTTTTATATACTAGTTGACTGTTCTTCCTTTGAGAAGTGCCTGTTCAGTTCATCTGCCAGTTTACTGATTGGGCTATTTTGGTGTGTTTCTTTGTTTCTGTTTTTGGGTATTTTTTAGTCTTTATATGCTCTAGATATTCACCCATTGTCTGAAGAGTAGCTGGCAAAGATTTTTGCCTGTTCTTTAGGATGTCGCTTCACTCTGTTAGTTGTTTCTCTCGCTGTGCAGAAACTGTTTAATTTACTACAGTTTCATTTGTCGGTTCTTGTTTTCTGTGTGGATATAGTTCTATTCAGTTCTTTTCCTCTGTCTGTTGTGAGGGGACCCCCTCCTTCCCCCCCACCCCCGCCCCTTGATTGTGCTCAACAGACAGATCAGACCAAGGACTGTGAGCAGCAAAGTGAGACATTTTAATTTTCCAGATCTTGCAAGAACCGGGTGCTAGCCTAACAAAACAGTGTCCCACCCCCAGGGCCTTCTCAGTGAGCAGTTTAACTCCTAGCACGGCTCCCTTCCCTCCCCAGCCTGGTTTCCTTCGCCCTTTCCTCCGAGGCTGGAGTAACTGGGGTGGGAAGGGACAATCTCCTGCTGGTGCTGAACCCTTAGCCCACCCCCTCTGTAAACTTTTGTGAGTTTTAAAAGCAAATGGTTAAACTATGGAAGACAGCTTCCTAACTGCCAGTGCTTTTCCTGTCAGAGTTAGCATGGGGAATTCCATACTTCTTAATTATTTACCCTTCCCCCTTTGTTTAGAGACCCTCTCATGGGCTGGGGATATAGCTCAGTGGCACAAGCGCCTGCCTGGCAAGCATAAGGTCCTGAGTTCGATTTCTGGTACCAAAAAAAAAAAAGCATGACCTCAGTCACATCCTCAGGAATACTAACCTTACCCCGAAGATATTTACATATTTGTTTCTTACACCTATTATTTCAAGTATTTACATTTGTTTGATGTTTTTTTTTTTTTAATTTTTTATTTTAAAGAATAAAAGAAGGATAACATAATAATAGGGGGGACTTAGCAAATTACAGACAAAATGG